TAGGTGCACACACCCGCCTGTTGCTTGAAGGGCTCTTGTATCTGTTGCGGCAGTCTTGGGTGTTATAAAGCCTTTGCTCTTGGGGAGGCTCTCTGCCTTCCTCTAAACCTTGTTGCTTGAAGCTTTCAGTGCAGCAAAGAGACTACAGTTCTCTCTCTCTCTGGAACTTAAACCTGCAACACTTGGGAAAAGCAGCACTCGCATTTTCTGGGAGCACGTGCTGCATCCTGCACCCACAAGCACTACGGGGGGGTTCAGCTGAGCTTCGCTTCTCTCACGTACTCACAAGGCTGCTCTGGGACACACTGCCTGTTGTTAAAGGGTAACTTCTCATCTGCTTGGGGCTGGGAAGTCCAGCTTTGCTTCAAACTTTGAAATTTTGAAGAGAGATGGGTCAAAGAACTGCTGGAAAACAGTGAACAACTTGGAAAGGGATTCAAGAACCAGGAAGTCTCCTGAACCCTCAACAGCTGTGGAAACAAAGCAAGCAAAAAAGCACTTAAGACCACAGAGAAAGAGCCGCTCTGTTTCAGGGCAATGTAACATCACTGCAGGCTGTTTGTCCTGCTTTGGATCCTACCTTTACCTCCCCTGCTCCAGGGCCCGGTCACAGCCCCCTGCTGCTCACCGGCACCTGGGGCTTCCCCGGCCCCTCGCTGCAACCTGCTGCGCCCAACACGCGGATCCGGGAGCACAGAGTGTCCCGGCCAGTCGGACAGAACCGGTTCTGACGCCCAGCTGCTGGGGCCAGTACATCCCTGCTGCCCCTCTCACGTACTGGGAAAGGCAGCGGCTGAGCGCAGGCCATTGCCTGCCCTAGAAAGCACATTCACCCCTAGATACAGTGAGACACCTTGAGGGATAATTCACAGCATTTTCTCCATCCTTCCGACTGGGGACAAGGGCTCTCTGTACTCCTTCTCCTCCCTGCATACTCCCGTCACCTCTCCAAGGGATTCTAGCTTCCTCCTTCTGAAACACTGAACTTCCCTGTACTCTTTTCCATCTTCCCACCTACCAGTAGCTCCTCTTGCTTCAGGAGCAGCGAATCCCACCTCAAGGTGGTCAGAGGTTCCTGCGTTCACGTTCTCCCCCCTGCACAGTAGGGATCACTTTGCTGTTTGGGGGGATTCTGGGAGCAGGGGGTGAAGGAATGGGGGTTGTAAGACAGACCCCCAGATACAATTACAGTCCAGTTTATCTTCAAAACAATCCCCATTTTCATACAACAATTAGTTTGCAGCTAATCCAGTAAGATATAAACAAAACAAAAATTAGATTCAGTCTTTATACTCAATCAAGTGTTTATTTTCCAGTATGTTCTGCAGTGTAGACGTCTCCACCTCCCAGGTACTGAGAGGTAGCAAGACACAAGACAGACTGATCTTCTTCATAGCCTGTATCTCATTTTAAGTCAGATTCAAAGACATCTTGTACTTTGAAAAGTAGATCCCAATAGATGAACTTACCCTACTGGAAACAATCATGTGTGTTTGTTTTGTCTCTAGTTCAACCCCATATGGTTTTCCCATCTCTAAATTCAGCAGTGTCCTGCCAAAGATCACTTGCAAGTATCTTGTGACAGTCTAACGAGAACATAAGTGCTGATAACACTGAAACACTAGGACAACTTTGCTGAGGTTGGAGTGCATGACAAACAAATCACTTGCCCTATGAAAGTCAGATTCTTGTACTTCCACCAAGTATTTCCATACTGTTGTTCTCCATCAAACCCAACACATTAAGTACTAGATCTTTGTCACCTCTCCCTTTTCCACCAGCTTTAGCAACTGTGACCCCTTTATAGATATATACATATATACACACACAAATATGTATGAAAATTTGCCCAAGTTCTTAGGGAAAAAAACAGGCTTCTGAGGGGGAAGGGCTGAGGAGAATGGGATGCATTTCACAAGAACATTTGAGTCCAAAAGAAGTGGAACTTGGTATGAGCCATCAGAATTGAAAGCAAGAAATCCCACTCTCCTGCTTCAACTTACATTAATAATTAACATATTTAAGAGAAGCTACATGATTAAAACAGCCTGTCCTAAGTCTCACAAACTTATGTTGAAACAAGTACTTTAAAAACATATTAAACATACTCAGTTAAGTCCTTTCCTTTCCCCTCTCCACTCTCAGATAAAGTTTCACTGATTCAGGTATCTCTAGGTGCAACTATTCTGTAGTGGTTTAACAGAGTTTACGTTATTCCAAATTCTAGTCTAGACCAGTTATAGAAAAGCCCTAATTGTTTTAGTCCCCCTTAGGTAACAGAATAAATGTCCTGAATTTTTATAGGCCCTTCAGGTAGGAGGATATAATGCAGAGAAACCTCCCAGCCAAAAGCCCATTGAGAATAACTCGATGCAAAACATGATTGAAAAATTCAAGACAACCACCATGCTCTAAAGTGCTCCTCTATAGGAAAAGAAAAAAACACCACATACACAATAGTGCTATAAATCAATCACAACTATCAGCTGTGTATTATCTTAATCACAGAAGAGACAGGAAGAAATATATGGGAGCAAAACAAAAGCTGGGACTGATGAAGGAAAACAGCAAAATTACAGTGCTAGCACATTCACGAGACGGTGCTGGCTGGGAAGCAGACTACATTTCAGTGCAACAAATTATTAATGTTCCAGTAGACTTCTCTCCTTCAGAAGACAGTTTTAATCGCAACAATTTTCTTCTTATTCCAGAAGACTCTTGATCTTTCCTACTCAGCCATTTCTCTTCGCTTACTTGCCTATATATTCAGTTTACTACTGTTTTTCCCAATGAAGAGTACTTCTGTAGTAGACACTTTAAAGCCTTTTCCCCATTTTTAACTGACCATCATTTCAAATACCAAGTCTGATTTGTTCAAGTTTAGACTTGCTAAAGTTCCTCCTAATCGCAGCTGTTTTGACTTACCTTACAATCCCTAGAACCTCTTCTACAGTCCATGTTTGGGCAACCACAACCACTGTGGTTTGCCCAACCACACTCGTGCCAACCACCAGTCATGCTTTCCTTCCTTCACCACACAGCCCAAATTACGTATCTTGCATAGTCTATTTAAGTATTTTCCTGAATGACACGTTAGGGTTTTTTTTGTTGTTGTTGTCGTTCCTCTTCAAAAGAGGGGGGAAAAAAAAAAACCCTCTTCCAGTCCACAAAGTGTTATTTCAAATTTCTCTGCTTAGCATCATATTATTTCTCCACATAAGTTTAAATGCTAGCAATTAAACACCTGGACCTGAATATCCAAGTGACAGAAATTCCATAGCAGATTCCTTCAGGGAGAGACCAGGGAAGAAAAATTGCAATCTTGCTTTGAGGAAGAAAGCCTCTAGCGAGGACGCACAACACCTTCCTAGCGCATATTTACATCCTTGGTGTTGTTCTTCCCTCTACTGTTTATCACCAGAAGTGCAGTTACTCCTGAAATCCTCAAATGTGGTTAACACATTAACATCAAAGCCAGGTTGCAAAAATCCTGCACATTCATTTCCTCCTTTAATATATAACAATCATGCATGCATTAAAAAAAGAGTACTGATTACAAAGAAAGAGTTTTCTTATAAAATAACAATCACCCATAGAAGATGATGGACTCTAAAGGATTTTTTTAAGCATGACCTGCATAATCACTGTATCTTCTTCACCTTCTGCACAGGGCCATACATGACACAACAGTTATCTTAAGAAAACTCCATCTCACACCATTCTGGCTCAAAGCACACAAGAAAGTGATGACGTTCATCTGACTTTTGCCAGGCAAGATGAGAGCACATTAAAGCAACCTGATATTCCAGCAACGTTGTAGAAAGTGCTTCAGAAAGACAGTCCCTCTTTCCTAAAGTGGAGTATTCCTGCCACAGGTCATAGAAAACCATCTGAACAAGCCAGTTCAAGATTAGCATCAGCAGGAGGCTGTGGTGGGACTTTCATGTCTTATCCTTTTGCCTGCTCCAGCGCCTGCATATTCTCCCCTGCTTCACTTACTGTAGGGGAAGATCACAGCCCATTGCACAAGAGCAGGCACTAATAAACCTGCCTTCAGTTCTGGGGAAAAAAAGGTAAGAGCAAGCAAGCAATTCTTCATATATCCAGCTAAATTTTTTCTTTAATGACAGTCATTGAAGTGCATTCAATTTTCAAGTGTATCCCTCTACAGGAACGCTGGCATTTTGCTTGTATTTTGCATTGTCACACAAATAACCAAGTCGAATAATGCTGCATGTATTAGAGCTGTCCAGAGGAACAACGAACTGTGACCAAATGAACTGAGGCCCACAATTCTTCTTCAGTAGATTTTAAAATAAAAATAAAAATAAAAATAAAAATAAAAATAAGGGGCGGGCGGGGAGGGGAGTAGAACAACAATCTATTTGTTTTCCAAAGGGAAAGAACATTTACAAGTAGTTTTTCACATACTGCATAGTCCGGAACTATCCTGTCCTGACTCACCGTCACTGGAAGATTCTTTGATCGAAGGTCACACTTCAAAGGCCAAAGATCCTCTCCAGTATTTCTGGAAACTGAAATATCTATACATATGACATTGGACACACAGTTTTGTTTCCTCTAAATATTTGAAGAAATCTACCGATTATTTACTTGCAGGTAGAGCTTAACAAATAAGCTTAATAAAAGCGTTTTCATCTTGTTGATGAAAAATTATAAGCACTGAGCAGAACTATCCCCATTTATCTCAAGTTTAACATTACATGAAAGTAACTACAGCATGTTAATATTTTCATGCTGTAGTTGTTTATCACCTATGAACAAGTCAATATTTAACAGGTAAAAAGCCTCAAAGACCAAAGCAACATAACAAAGGGTAAACAAGTCAAGTACCAATTAATGATCATAGAAATAACATGTCACACAGCAGAAATGTCACCAAATAGCGTTAGGCATTCCATATAATTCCAAGAAATGAATTCCACAGATGCATTAAAACCTTCAAAATGGTAGTGGTTTTTTTATTTGTCAGATAAATTAACACTTTAGTTAATATGAATTTACTTCAACATTTGGGAGATATGGAAATTAATGATTAATCCAGAAATGAAATCACCACTCTTCAAAAAAATATATCGAATACAAGTGTGAATTTTATACTGTTCGTCTGATGAGCCCTTAACATTATGTGACATCACACACAGGTTTGCAAGACAGAATCACATACAGATTGGTTTTCAGCCTCTCATTTGTGAGCCTTTGAGGTGTCTAAGAACAGAAAGTTCAGACATGCTATAATGAAGCAACCTAAGCATAGAGATTTCCAATGAGCCTTGAAAAATCTGGAAAAAAAATCTTGAAAATCATCTTGAAAAATAGAGGTCCACAAACCAAGAGAGATGAAAATATTATATTGGAATAAATACTGAAACCACAGTGCCCTGGAGGGAAAAGTCAATTAACACTAGCTTAATAACAGAAAATACATTACTGTGTGTTTTTTTCCCCCCCCCAGTTTTAGAAACCAGGACTTGATTAATGCAGCTTTCAATTGTTTTAGATTAAGATGAAGTTAAAAATTGCAGAGTACAGAAAAATCTTCAAATAAGAAGCAATCTCTCTTTGTCATCTAACACCAAGCATGTATCACAAACAACATCTGTACTACACAACTCTTTAAATAGAGCAGCGATTTTTCAACAGAAACAGGATTTTATTTTAGTGTTCATCTAATAATTCATGTTTTGGATTCCAATTTTAGTTTTCAATAATGTAAAGGAGAATTAATTCCACAAAAGCAGCTAGCCGCCTGTTCCTGTTCAAGTCAAACGACTACTGAAAAAATAGGATTTTAAATGATCCCTTCCTCAGATTTTCTTGCCACCTTCTCAGAAGAAACCCCAGTCATAGCAAGCTTGCCATCTTATTTTTCTTTTCTTTCCTTTATTTCTTATTTTTTTGTTGGGGTGGGAGAGAGGGGCTGGGAATGAGAGGGATAGGAAGAAGAGAGGTGTCTCATCTAATGAAGGAAACACAACAAATCAATAATTAGTTTTCACAGTAAAATGCATCAGTTTTGTAGTTTCATTTGAAACCAAGAACAAATCATGAAACGTCATGAAAATAAGATAAAAAATCTCCTAGAGTGATTACTAAATGAAGTTAAAATTACCACACTAATCAGTAAACCCCAGAAGAAAAAGCAGATGCCTCATAGTACAGGTTCTACATTGAACAGTATCCACCTTCTAAAATAAAACCATAAAATCTGTATGTTTGGCCATGTTGCACATATTTCCCCTTAAAAAATAGCATACAGAAAAAAATCTTGTTATTCCCAGTATGAATTCTGAAGTTCTTAGAAGCTCAAAACCCAGAAGTTAAAGATCAGCTAAAAGGATTTTAAATTATATACAAATCCAGCAGGTAGAACTACCATAATGGCTTCATTTCCATCCTTGTAGTGGCTTTCACTCTCATCCAGCAGCATCTGCAGTAGTCACCTCCGATCGGCTTTATCACTGATCATCTGTCATTTTAAGCAATTCTAGGAGAGCCCCAACAGCTCCAAAATAACCCTAGAAGCAAGACAAAGACAAGTCCAATGAAACTCAGAGACACACACAAACATGACCACATAAGGCCTCCAGTTCTGCTAAAGCAATTGAAGACACACTTCCTGCAAGCTATGCCATCTTAAGCCAAGAATTTCTCATTGAATTATAATTTAGTTTGATCTTGCTTATGTATATGGAAGAACACGACTCCAAAATGAGTATTACAATGATCTCCAAGTCTGTCAAAAAAGGCATTACAGATAACAACACTGCACTGAGGGAGGGCAGCTTGTTTCCACGACTGCACCTAGAGAAACTGCCTTCTCTTTCCTCCTACGCCCACAGGAGCACCAGACTGCGGAGGGCAGTGAGGAAGCAGAGGTCACAGATATACCACATTTAACAATAAATACTGCAAGATTAGTAGTCGGGTCAGAGACTTAACACTAAGTATTTTCAAATGAACTTGTAATCAAGTGATATTTACACAAAATACAGTTCGTGCTTTCTCTGCAAGGGATGCCAATGAATTTCTCCCTTTTGATTTCACCCAGCCAAGAAGCACAACTTTTTTCTCTCTTTTTTCCTTCTCTCCTTACAATAAAGGTAGGTTTAACATCTATTTCCTTACCTCATGTTCCAAAAACAGAGCTTTCAGCTGACCCTTGGACCAATAATCCATAGCATATGCTAGTACCTTCATAGAAACCATATTAATTCGGAGAAAGTTTCCAACAAATACCACCTTGTCGATGTTCTGTAAAATTGAAAAGCAGACCAACATGTTAGATTGAGTTATGCTATTATTCTTACTTAATATGCGCTTCAGTCTCCATTAAAAATTAAACCAGGATTTTAGGGTTTTATTTCCATTACCCAAACTAAAAACCTCAAGAACTCTAGCTACTGATCTATTACCTGAACATTGGTCCCATTTAAAAAATAAAACATACGGCCCACATGATACTTAGCATATACTGCTTCCCCTTTTTCTGCCCTCTAAGTTAACTTGAGCTCAGTTTTTGTATAGAAACATAAATATTTTTTGAACAGCGGAGCTACACCAGCAATAAGAGCCTCTCTCTTGTACACATCACTGCCTGTTACCAGGAATTTCATCACTTTCACAGTGCCTGTAACATTTACCAAACTGGACATGTTTGCACTTGGAATTGGTGCACTGTATCACGCACGCCACGTATCAGAACCGGTACAGAAAATTCACTAAAATCATCAGCCAAATGCTGGATGCATAAGCTTTTTAAAAGGAGTTTTAGAGGAAATCCTAGAAACATTTTTAAGCATCCTCAGCTGAAAATTACCAGCAAAAACCTGCTGAGAAACTACAAACTTTTAGTGTTACCTCACTTGAGTCATCCAGCTCTATGGAGTCTAATCCCTGGCTCTACAGCAATTACTTCAGCAGGCTGCACTTTTAGAGAGCCCACTACTACGTATTTGATGTACTATCCAGAATATCCTAACTTGAATGCTCAGACCTGAAAAGTGCTGATACCCAGACACAATAACTTACTTAGTACCTAGCAGCTTTAGATATTTGACTGGCCTTTCCAGACCAAAAAAACCAAAAACCCACAGCAAAACAAAGTAACTCAGGTTTAGAGCCAGCTGTGCAGCAGCTGACTTAGCAGGCATTCGCATTATCGGAATAAGGATAAATTGGAGCTTATAAAGCTGGCAATAAGGGCTTATAAAACTTCAAAATGCTGCAATCAAACACGGGTAAGGGCTCTTCGCATCTTTGCCAGCACAGTTTCGGCTCTGCCAGTCATTTCTGACACAGAAGAGAAAAGCCACATCTAGTTATTTTTCTGTAATAAAACATTGAAATTGATTGCAAAATGCAAATTGTATTGACCTTGGAATTTAATTTCAACCAAAAATTTTGCTCTATGTACATGCAAAGCTACCCATACCAGAAATTGAAGTAAGCAGTGCCTACTGTTGAGCAGAAATACTACTAAGTATGTTAAACCTAGAACTTGCAACCCCATCTACTTGCATATATTATGTGCAAATTCCATAGCAATTTTAATCTAAGCAAGGAATGCTGGAAAATGCTGAAGATGTAAAATTACCCAGGTTTTGGAACAGAAAACAGCTTTAGCATTTTTCATTAGATTACAAAAAAAAAAAAAAAAAGAAAGAAAGGAATGCTACCTTTAGCTCTTCAAAAACAGCCCTGCCAATTTTCTTTTTAAATTGTTCACAGCTGAAATATCCCAAGTTGAAAGACAGAAGTCTTAAACCGATGAAGGGTTTGTGGTGAATGGCATACTTCAGCTAACTGAATTACAACATCCTAGAAAACATGCACTTTTGTGTGTTTTGTTAAATTGCTCCTCTATCTGGCAGTAGAAAAGCTCGAATTCACACATTCTTGTGCCATTTCATTGGAGAGTGAAGTCTGTATGAATGATGCAATGAAAGAAGCCTGGACACATTTTCGCAAAAATCCTTGTGCAGATAGAACTAGCACTCTGCCTTTATGAAAACTATAAACCAGAGATATTGGTTTCCTTTATGTAGTCTATTGTGCCTAGGACAGGCAAAATGATGTGATGTTTCAAATGATGTGTAGCCAAATGGTTCCAGACTATGGAATTTTTCTACCCTATTGCCAACTTTGTGCAAGCAAGCTTAGCTTTGAAGTTCTGTAGACAGAATATTTCATTTATTCCCCAGCCTCAGTCTTTTCCTGAACATATGCAAGTCATTTTCAACATAATATTAAAGCTGCAATCACTGAAAAAGTTATCAAAACTCCTATTTCAGAACATATAAATTGATTTTAAGAACCTAAAGTGAACTTCACCATAATCCTAACCTAACGTACATAATGTGTCAGGGAAAAAATTAGATCACATTGAACTGCTGTTTAAGCATCCAAATCCCCCCCACCCCCTGTTTTTTGGGGCGAGAGGGGGAGAGGGCATTTAAATCATCAAGCTGGTAAAGAGTGGGAGCTAAATCTTCCAAATAAAGTTTAGTTGTCTAAATTAAAGAGGAACAGCAGCATTGCTTTTTAATGAATGAAAGCTATATGGAGATTAGGTGAATCACTAAAAATGATATCTCACTGATGCCTTACAATGAAATACTGTTTGAAATATTTTCAGTACATAAAACAAACAAGAAAACACCATATTTTCCACTTCTTTCAAACTACAGAAAGTGTTTGATAAACTAGATTCTCACAATAACTGGTAAATGAAGGATACTCAGCATATCAAACCACATTCCTCCATAAAACTCTATGGATTGTGTCCGGTTTCTAAATAAGTCTGTCCACGAAGCAAAAAGGTTAAGTTTTTCACAGCGACACAAAAGCATTAGAGTTACATTAGAGGCCCATTTCCTCCTGTGAATGCATCACATGTGGCTCCCTGCTGAAACTCTCCATGCTTTGATAGCCCTGTACAATGCTGCTTGAACTCCATGCCACAAGGCAACACTGTAAAGAAGCTGAAAGCAAAGAGAACATTGAAAGAATCATCATGACTGAAAAAGCCAAGCTGCCAAAAAACAAAAGAAGTCCACACCATTTTTCACAATGAAGAGACGTTTATGGGTGGCATTTTACAGGGACACGTGCTGAGACTCGTACTGCTCAACTACTTAAAAAGTGCTATAGAAAGAGGGATTAGCAGCCCAGTGTTCACTTTCATCAAAGTTGTTCAGCAGAGTCAAAATTTAAAAAGAGCAGCAAAACAATGCTGAAGAGTCCTGTAATACTGAGTGCCTAAGTAATAAAATGGCAGGTGATGTCTAGATTAAAAGACAGTAGAAAAAAAGACAGAGGGAGAGACATTCCACCAGTATTCAGACACGGCGATGGGCTCCAAGTTAGCCATTACCACTCACAGCAAGGACTGTGGAGGGACTCTAGATGGTTTCTCAGAAAAAAAACACAACTAAACTCCATTTTCAGTGGCAAAGACAAAAGTCAAACACAAAAAAACTGTTAAACTGGTAACACAAAATTCCTCAATATGCCACTACACAAATTCACGGCACCCACACATTATGAATACAGCATGAAGATGTGATCATTGTGTCTTAAAATCAGGTATCATCAGGTATCAGAGGATTCTTTTCCTCCCCACCTTCTTTTTGACAGTGAAAACATCTCATCACAGAATTCTGTGGTGCTTCAAAACAGTTACCAAAGATTGTAGATCCAAGTGATTCATTACCACATACATACAATGATGCAACTTCCAGCTCCAAAGTCCCTTGCTTTTTACTACTGGAAGCCAAAAAGGTGTTTTAATGGAACAAACATGAAAATTGTGGGTAGTTTAAGGAGAAGAGCGCAACAAGCATCTTGAAATAGGACACAGAATTATATTTATCTTCCCTCCAACCCAATATAGTAGATCTCAAACACAGGAAAGCCTAGACAATTCTAGTTTATCAGCCTGTGAATAGACCAAAAAGATGTTCTTCCTTTCATAGAAAAATAAGATCCATTAACAGCTAAGAGGAGATTAATAGTATTATTGACTTGGATTACAAAGGCCTTAATATCCAAGTCTTGCAGCTTGAGAACAACTGGCTACCAGAAGGCATTGACTGCTCAAGGAGAGCTTTACAGTGCAGCTTTCTCCCGTCTTCCCTACCATGGAGGTGTGCATGTTACCCTTTGCAGCAAAGCATGCACAACACAACATCACTGGAGTTAGCAGCCAGCATTAAACACAATGCATCTTTACCAAGGCCAGCCATATAATCACTATACCAGCAGTTAACTTTTTTTATGTTGATAACCTATAATGTTGTTTCTAAAGGTTTTAAGCTCATAGTAAATATGTCATCTTACCTCATTCAATGCACACATGCGAGCAATAGAACCTATGTTGTTGGTGATGGTGACCAAAGTAGCTCTGGCCAAGTCCTCTTTACTGATGGAATCTCTCTTTTCTTTACTCATCATATGGCCAAAGCTGTGTGAGGAAGATCATTCCTTTTAATATGAAGTACTTAGGAGCGTTAAATGCCCTTAGAAATTTAATTATTTCAGTAATCCAAGTTTTGTTTGGATTTGATATTCATTGACTTGGAGCAAAGAGAGGAAACACATTAGAAGGAATCCCACTGTAAGGATAAAATAATGAGCAAAGACACCTATGATAAAGTAACTGTAATTTAAATGGAAGCAAACTATGCGAAGCATTCCTTATACCTGTTAAAAAAGGCAGAAAGTAGGTGAGAGATCCTAAACACAAGCCATCTGATAAACAAGGACGACACTTCCACATAGTCATGGTACATAGTTCAAGGATTAGGCACTTAGTTCAGCATGCACAGTTAATATGGTTGTTTCTAACACATTCCAGTGAAATTAATAAGTACCTTGAGGCTACAGCAGATCCTTGAAGGCCAAATCGCTCATAATCTCCTCCATAAATGTCTTTCACCAGCTTATCCACGTTGGTGCTGTCCCCTTTTGCAGCCATTTCTAATGCTTCCTCAAACGTCTCACAGCCAGTCAGCAGACAGCACAGGCCCAGGAACGTGCCACCTCCGAGGCTGAAAAGCACAGCTCTGTGAAACCAGCAGCTTTAAGCAGCTTCTTCCATTGCTTTTCAGATCCCTGTTCTTAAACACATTCCCACAGCTACAAATTATGGCCCTGCAACTCAACGCCTACATTGCGGAAGTGGAGAGACCCTATACGGGACTTGTATTTAATATTGGTATGGCTTTAAATGTGGTATTTTTAAGGCTCTAATATTAAAAAAAAAAAAAGGAAAGCTAAGAAATATGGTCCAATCCCACTCACCAGTCTGCTATTTGTAGCAAGTTTTCCGTGGACAGGAATACACAGCCAGCAGATGATTTTGAGTCAGGGATAAAAGAACTGAACTACCAGCAACTAAAATTAAGCAGCTCTACAGAGATAAGCAGCCAAGACAGACCACATCTCCCTCAGCCAGCAGTGGGAAGCAATTTGGGTTCCTTTTAGAAGAAATCAACGAACAATCAGTTTACCTGAAACCCTCAACAAGCTCAAGAACAATACTAAGGACTATATATAAATATATATATATATATTTAGTAGCAAGCATTTCATACCAATTGGTAACTAATTTCAATTAGAATCATCTACTTTATATGCTTCCGTCTCAACAGCTCAAACTTATTTAAGTTACACAGGTCCAATGCACCTGAAAAGCACCAGTTCAACAGGCTTAAAAACCATTATCTGCCATCACCTGGGCTGAGAACAGCTGTGCTGAACTTCCCTATCACCTCTGCATCCCTCCTCACTCTTATCACCTGGGAGAAAGTTAATTTGCACTAACTGCAGTCACACCAATTGCAGCCACGGCAAAAACAAAGAGGATCAACAAATCTCAAATGATTTATTTGCACTCCACAGAAAGCACGGGGGCTACGTAGGAACACCATTCAGTCAGTGCTGCCAGGTTTTCAGGAGTGTTTTTCAGAACATTTCCAGTAGCAATACAATATATTTGCCAAGAAGCAGAAAGCTTTACACATTAGCCACAAACAACATCGGTTTTATCAAGTCAACAATGCACTCAAATTAAGATTTTCCTTTTGTAATAGAAAGAATCAGAAGCATATCTACAGATACTGAAGCTTAAAAACAACATCAGAATTGCAGAAAATTGAGGCCTTTCAGCTTGTGTTCATTTGTGCTATACACAGAACAACAGTTTTTGCCTACAGTTGGAACAAAGACATGTTTAGTTAAGACAACAGAGGACACATTCATGTGCAAGATATAGGTGATATTTCATTAGAATACATCAGAAACTGAAAAAATGCAACTTTGGAAGGCACTAGGAAATCCAAAGAGCTGTTTTGGTTGCTGTTTTCAAAGGGGAATGTGTTATGTTATTTTCTAATTATTATTATTTTTTTTTCTCTCCAGAGTAAAGTGAATCTAAGTCTGCTTTTTCCCTAGGATTTCTCATACAAATCATTTTGATTTCATCTGCATGTACAAGTGGGACAGGTTTAATCAGCACTTCAATAACTAGTCTGGATGAACCCAGCTCCAACTACAGACGTTCCCTAGGGCCACAGCAGCCACATTGATGCCAGTAAATTTAAGCATGCCTCAGACTGCTTTGAGGCCTCAAGGCAAAGGGCAAGGGGTGCTCTGCAGCCACCCTGCTGAACTTCCAGCTGCCAAAACAGAGCACTCACATCTAAACCTCCTACTGAGACCATTCCTGCTTGGCTGTACCTCACAAACTGCATCAGAGTCCCAGCTGACCCAGCCTGAAATTATGCTGAGGACAAAGCAAGAACACACACACACAAGTTCTAGTCTTTGCTCTCTGTCAGAGTTTAATTTACCAGCATGGTCCAAATACTAGTGTAATCAGTGAAAGAAAGAACGAGACCTCAAAATTCCTTTGCCAAAAATCCAGTAGTAGCAGGTAATTCTAACCAAGATCTTCTATATTCTGGATACATGTCCTAACGAACAAGCAAAAGGTTTCTGCTTAGCCCAGATATTCTAATTTTACTCCTCTGTCTTGTTTGGGGGAATCAAAGGAAGGGACAGACTCATTTATTGGAACAGACCTATTGGATAATTCACAGCAAAAGAGAGGGAGCCAGAACACCAAGAGGAGACAGCGCAGCTCCTGGTAGAATGGATCAGTAATTAATCAGTAATTTTGGTTACACAGACCTCTGCTCAGAGGCAATTTCCAGCCTTGCTACTGAGGGACTTTGACTAAAATGAAAGATGAGCACAATATGGGGCTGCACCTACTAGTCACACTGACTACAGTCTATCAAATTAAGGAAAAAATACATAGGATAAAATTTACCTGGATCCTGTGACTCTTTTATAGTTATCCTTAGAATATACAGCTAGGATGCTGACCCCTGAGCCTATGTTAACCAGCAACATAGGATACGGATTATCAAGGCAGTAAGGTTTTTTCTGGCACTGTTCAGGATCCGTGGGATTTTCAAAATAATAGCACTCTGGTTGGCCATTGAAACCAACAGAATCAACGTAAAGCAGGCCCTGGATCAAACAGTCCAATTCATCCAGTTTGTGGAGTTGTAGATCAGCAATCTGGAAGAAAACAACAAGAAGTTAATAACTGAGCATCTCTTAGCACCACATGACATCGAGAAAGGCTCTGCTGAAGCACTGTGGTAATAGCAACACATTATGCAATTTAAAGAGTATGAAGATCTGAATAAGCATAAAGTCACAAATAAAAGCAATTTGCCATCTTCCTGACAGCAGGTAACTCCCCACACAGTGACAGGACCCTCAAAAGTACCAGCCTTGTGTCCCCTGCCTTTGAGAAACTCCGTGGTCTGCAAGCAGCCTAGGAAAACTTCCCCCTACCCTCTCATAATCTGAAGCAATAAATGTCCTTCCCTTCACCCCTACCCCAAGAGGAGTTGGGCACTGCTGCTTTTAGCACATTTGGGGATGCAACACGCCTTAACTCCTAATTCAGCTACTTTCCCCAGCAGTTTAATGAAACATTTAACAGAAAAAGCAAGAACAAGGAACTTAGCTGAACAACCAGGCAGTTCAAGCTTTACAAACTGAATGTTATGTTAACAAGCATTAAAGTTGCAGCAGAAATTCCTGAAAAATTATGTTTCTAAAACATTTCACGAGCAGAGTGCTATTTCTTTTGAGTACTTTCAAAGATCCACAAAAAAAAAAAAAAAAAACACAACCATATTCCCAGTGTTTGGTGAAAAACACCAGTGAAAATCCCCAAACAAAAATATCTTGAGGTCCCTGCCCAGGCACACTGTTCATAACGTCGTTGTACTAGAGGGCAGAAAAACAACTATAAGACCTTTAGAAGGATGGTCTTTAGATCGCACAGATGCTCTTAAGACTGGACCTAAGCAGGCAGGTCTACTTGCCATTGCATTCCATATACCAGAATTAGAAACCATATCCCTTCCAGAAATATATGGTATGATGACAGCCCATAGGAAGTCTCCTCTGCAGAGGACATGGGTTCAGACCTGTGTTAGGTAGATTTTTGGGGGGTGAGTAGAGGGGGAAAAAAAAATTATCACTCATTCAAATCCTGAGGCCACCTGCATTCCTGCACCTTTGCGGTGTGTCCCATACATTCCCTTTCTACCAAAAAAGCAGCAAGATGTTAGGAACAGGAAGAGACTATATAAAACTAAGATGGTTCTTAAAACGTACATATTGCGGTATATTTTTGTAGCTACCACCTATTTTTAATTTGGGAAGCTATATTAAGTTACTACGAAGAGGAAAGATATTTTAGTACAACAGACACCAGCAATAGGTTACATTCTTCTGAGCTATTTAAATCTTTTCCCTTCCCCTCCCACATCAAGCAGACTCAAAGCAGCAGAACAGACCCAGTAATCTGTAGGACATCTGCCTGTCAATACATAAAAGTGGAGATCACAGCTTCTTGTTTCACATTTTACTACTGTAACTGGTGCAAGTTTCTTTTCTTGGTTACCAAGTTGTTACACAAGTTACAATTATAGAAACACAACATAAAATACTTAAACTAATTACCCGGCAAATAAACACAATGAAAGCAAGTAAGAAAGTGTTTCGAATAAGCATTACAAAAGTCTTGCAAATAGTAATTTCACCGGCTTCCTGCTATTAAATGTGCAGAGTAAGCTACAACCAAGAGGCACACGATACAATGGATTAACGTAATAAACATCTTGTGTACTCTTGAAGTCCACAGTCACCTCTGCTCAGAAGATTATACAGAATATAGCTTATATTAATGCATATAATTACATATAATTGTATTTATATAATTACATCTAACTCATAATTTGTATTTCATTGTAATGAATGTTTTATGTAGTTAACTGTGTTGCACACGGCTTGCCAAGCACTAGCAAAGGTTACCAGGATCTTTCCTATGCTACGCACGGTAGAGACTCATTTCATCATTTGACTGCTCGAACTGCAGCCTGACAAAACGTGACTTAGCAGGGACCCGTGACGCACTCGGAGCGATGGCACGTTTATTTTTATGCCTATCATTACTGAGGTATGAAATACTTTTTCTCCCAACACATGCTATTTCCACGACTTACTGTTCACTCACTGCTACACAACGAGCTATGGAAAGCTTTGCTTGTGAAAGCAGAATCATGAGCAGGTTTGTGGCCCTCGGCATCACAGCCTCAGTGCCTCACATCAGCCAAATAGGGGAACAAGCTGCTTGTGTCTCTACAGCGCTGCACTTTAAGATGAGTGACAAAGCTCGAAAATAAAGAGCAATCAATCCAAATCTAAGAATAAAACACAGTATCAAGGCAGAAACAGATAAAAACCCTTCTTCCTACAGACTCTCAGGTCTGCCCAATGTTTTTGTAAGGGAAGAACAGAAGAAACTAAATGGAAGTTCCTTTCAAGCACTGACCAGCAAAGCTTTATAAAAGAGAAGTCAGGCCTGATAAGAGACTAGAAATCCCTTTAACAAGGCGTTATATCCAGCAGGCAGAAAAGCATTGCTGCTTTCTTTCACATACAACAGCCATGGCAAACTGCTGTGCACTTTTCTGCCCTTCGTTACTGGAGGGAAGGAGATGGGCACCAGTATTGCACACAGAGCCACCTTTCCCTGAGGAATCCCTCCGCAGCCGTGAGCTCTGCAAGGCTCCAACACGCCGGGAGCCGCCCGCTCCGCGTCCCTGGCAGCCCGGCAGGCACCCGGCCGCGCCGCAGAGGCGGCTGCAGTCGGGGTCACAGCTGGCAGCCCCTGCGGTGCCCATCGAGCTGCCTTCTCTCTATCCATTCCCTGCTCACCACGACTCCAGCAGCTCAACTGCTGCAAATCAGAAGGGCCTGTAAACATCCCAGCTAATGTCTGAGTAGGCTTGCCTCTTTCCTGCTGCTTTGCCTGACCTCACCATGTTCTGCTGCTCCTCATTTTTCAGCCGCTCAAAGCAATCCTCCCTGCAAAAATCTCAAGTTTATGCACAAGCGTAAAACAAAGATGAAAACTGTATGTAAAAATACATTTTAACATGATTTATTTCCTGCAACTGTTGTTACCAAGAGTATTTGCTGACACTTTTCTACCCATTACTAGGGGCAAGAGCAACAGAGCACTCAGCTCCTCCTGCCCTGCACGCCTGCAGCTACAGGCACTGTGTTGTCTCTCTAGGGGAAGGGAAAAAAAAACACACACACAGTTGTACTATGAAAGAAAAACCCTGGAGCAGTGTAGTACACAAGACTCTGGAGGGAAAAACCTATGGTGGTTACAGTGAAGATACATGCACCTTTTAAAAGAATGATTTTTCTATGTTACAGCCACAGAACAAAAATTCCTCTTCCATTTTAGACTGTTTTCAAATACTAGAGAATGGGAAGGGTCAGAAGATACAGAACCTCAGGGAATTCTTCAGGACCATCAAAAGCAAGGACTAAGGACTTTAACAGATACTCAGACACACAAATGGGTACCCCACAGCACAGAAGGGAACGCTGCCACATGACAGCTCATGCCTGAGCAAGTAACCCCCAAAACTGAGTTGGTTCAAAGAATATGGAAAAAGGTCCATTGTTACAGGTAAAGATATTGTATTAAGGAGAATGAAAGCCTTCCTCTTGCTGCAGACTTACAAGGAGTACTACAAAAGTGCATTTTCTGTTCAAGACTTTTTTTTTCTCTACATAATGCCAAACACAAGTCTTAGCTGTATTCAGACATCACAGAGTATAAAAACGACTCATATCCACCAAGACACGAGCACAGTGACCACAGCGGGCAGCTGACAGGACCCTGCCGCCAAGAAACAACCTGGCCCCAACTTGCTGCTTCCTTCAGGAACACAAGTCAGACCCAAGTCATAAGTGTTAGTTTTTATGGGCAAGTGTTTCCACTCAGCAGTGCAAACATGAGAGGGCCCAGTCCTCCTCACGTGAGCTGAGGGCAGTCACAACATCTCTGCAGGGGCAGGGGAAAAGCCTGGCAATCAGCACAGATCTCTTCAATGAAGCTTTGGCTCATGAAAGCTGTCACTAAGCTTGAATTTTTAGAGAGGAAATGGTAACTTTAGAACCTACTGCAGTTAAGAGTTAGAGCTGTTCATTTGTCTCCTGAACTTTCAATGAAAGATAGACAAATGTTTCTTACAGAAACTGTTACAGATGTAACATTTGGCAAATCTATGAGTTAGAACAGCCTTGCTTACTGTATCACTCTGGCTTTTATAACCCTTCCGGGCTTGGCTCCAAATTTTCCTTCTTATAATAGCTCATGGTCTATCTTTTCCTCCTGTCTCTCTCTCATTACCTCTCCTCCACTTTCATAAGTATGTACTCGTTTTCTCTATATTTTGATTGTCTTCACCTCACCAACACCTCAAAAAATAATTAAAAAACACCACACCTTTCCAAATTTGCTTCTTTTCCAGGTTAGCTGAGGCAGATATTCTCCCCAGGTCATCCCATACACTGAGACTAGGAAATCTCCACTCGCACCCAAACAAGACAAGGCTCAGTACTACCAAAAGGTCAACCCAACACCTTCACCAAGGCAAAAAAGGACAACTCTACACCAGTTTTGGGGGAAAACAGCACTATCTTGGGGCCATCTTCAGAGATTCCACCTTTCTGGCCACTCCGTTGGAAGGATCTCCTCTCTCTCCTGCAGCACATGCTCCCTGTTCCCGTTCCCCTCGGCCGGCTCTCCCGGCTGCTGGCAGCAGCACAAGGTGTCCCGGTTCCCTCGCCCGCTCCCCGGATTCCATGTGAGCTCCGAGCCGGCTCTGTGGGTCCGAGCGGGGCAGCGGCCTCCTCGAGCAGCGAGAGCCGACACGAGGCTTGACGGTTTGACACCCCCGTAATTAGACACAGCCCCTCGTTATGCAACACTGCAAAAACCTGCTACCAGGCACTGCCAGGCATTCCGGTTTTACCCCACAGTTAGCTTTTCTGCAGGATTTTCTATAGGTTTCTAGAGCATTTTCTATAGGTTCTGAGGAAGGTGAAGACCTGAAATTGTGTTGGTAATTTTTTTTAAACACATATTTATAAGCACACACACACACAGATGTTCTTTATTAAGAGTTTTCTTGGCTCAGGCCCTGCTTCCACTCAAGCCAACAGCAACATTCCTATCAAGACAAGTCGGGATCTGTAGTAACCTATTCAGAGCATGAGTACAAAGATCCCTATTTCAACCCGTTGCAACTGTCAGAAACTTTGCAATATAGCAGGTTTTGGATATAGGCCTGCAGAACAGACATACAACCTTTCTTCCCTCTTCCCCCACATAACTTTGTAAGGATAGTCAGTAGGAAACGAGAAGCAGCAGCCTAAGAACTCGCTGCTGCAATCTTAGAAGAGTTAACCTGGAATGTGAATGTTATTTTGCGGTATGTTGAACCTTTTATCTTAAATCTATGCAATCCTGAGACTCAGAAGCATTTAAAAATGCTAAGAAATAAAGAAGTGACTGTTAAAAACACGTGGAGTGTAAAACAGAGGTTTAGAACAAAAGCAGGTTATTTGCCATTCTATACATTTGTCAGCATTTAACCAGATTTTGTTGTAATTGAGACTCAAACATCACTTTTTCCATACTGCCTCCAATTTAAGCCTCTGCCACATATGACATTAAATAACATGAAAGACTCCAACAGCAGGATATTAGATTTGGCACTAAACCTCTCTTCCTCCAGGTAAGTTGGAGTAATCAAGTGTGTGAAACAGGTACTTTAATGCTTTTAAAGAGCAATTCCGCACCCGCTGCCCAATGTCCACTGGTGGCCAGCAGAGCACTTTCAGCTAATGCTACAGCTGCAGGAACAGGAGACATTCCACTCTGCACCTCCTCATTTAGTAATCTATCTGACAGTATACAATGCAGAAAGAATTCAGGAAAGCTGATCATGCCAGTCCTCCGCCAAAATCCACTCAGCACTCGTAGAGGTTTACAGCAATTCAAGAACTTGACAGTCCCTCATTACAGTAGCTGCTTTTATGCCCAAGATTCACAGAAAATCTGCAAGTCTGGGCTCACCTGTACAGCATTCTCACTGCCCCCTAAAGAATCAGAATAGCTGAATAGCAAGGAATATTAACAAAAAATATGTCCTATAATGCAAAAATGGATGCCAGGATTCTTAGCCACTCCAGATTCTTAAAGAGGGTCAGTTTTATCTGGAAGGAAGCAGTCAAGAGCAGATGGGCCGTTGCTTCCCTGTGCAAGTTAAAGACACTTGTACATTGCTTTTGCAGGTGACACTGACCACCAAAGACTGGATTGTCTTCACCTAATGCTTGGGAAGCTGCACAGGATGAAGCTCACACATCTTAGCACCTACCATAAAAGAGGAGAACCTAAGTCCGTCCCATTTTTCTACCTCCCCTTGCCTTCTCAGACCCCAATACAGTCCCTGTCTGCAGAGGCAGCTCCACAGGGCCCAGCCTGGCAGCCTTTCCCACTCCTGCAGTAAAAACATGGGCCAGGGATGCTCCTGTGCAGCTTTTCACAGCCAAAAGGGAACAGAAGTGGAAAGACAGTTCCCCCCGCCAGGAGCTAAGAACCTTTATCAGGACACAGCAAAGGCACACATGGCAGGCAGAGAGCAGCTGATTTTCTACCAGGAACTTGAGGGTTTACTTTCAGAAATGTTAGTTGCAGTTTCTGCAGAACCTGCAATTTGCAGGTATTTCTGGACCCAAGGCCCCTCACCTAGACAGCAGAGCAACTAGCATGTGGATCTACATACGGATTACAGTTCTCACAGCTGGGAAAAGGCCATGCAATGTGCCAGGTAGAACAAAACCAAGGATAGGTTAACAGCAGAAATCTTAGACTGCGGTGATTAAGAGAAATGAGAGGATAAAAGCAAGGCAGCAAGAGAGAAAGGAGACTACACAAATCAAGCTTGTCTGTAAATATCATCCTGGGTGTCAGCGAGCAGCTGATAGGATCCGAGATGGCCCTGGCAGGGGTGAGGAATGCACACATCAAAGACTGGTCAACAGCTCACACATCAAGGTTGTATCTCTGCAGCCTGAGGCAGAGACAGACAAGCAACTGCTGCAACCCATCACCCCGGGCCACCACTCCTCACACTTGGGTCAGAGCACGAGACCTGCCTCCTGAGGTCACAGATCACATTAGCATGGAAAGAACACTCTGCTACAGACAGGCTAGCCACTCTTTCACAGAAAATGAACGGGGATACGCACCAGCAGAGACTCGTGCACAACAAGCTCCTGCCTTGCCAGGGACTGTTTCTCTGGGAGGCAGTTGCACGACAGCTGCCCAAGCCCCTGCTCACCGCTGCTTTTGCGGGACACACTCCAGCTCCACTCAGAAGCTGCAGCTACCACAGAAGTTAATTCCCCATGCAGCACCTCGATACTTCAGATTTGGGTTTTTTTTTTTTTTGGACTCCATGCATGGGACCTTCCTTCACATGACACGCAGTCAGAATTGAAATCAAAAGCTGACTACATTTCCCTGTTTCCCTAGGCTTTTTCCCTCCCAAGCTTGCTCTTCCAGAACCCAGACTCCAGCCTTCAAGCAGACTAATACCAAAAAGGGAAGAAGGGTCTTGTTGCCAGCCTGTATGGTTTCATTTCTGGATTTTCCATACATATCCAATATGGAGAATGAGTGCCTGTAGTTTCAGGTTTCACGCTGTTCATCATCCAGCTAGCACTGACAACAGTGTTATTCTCTCTGCAAATTTTCATCAATGGAAAGTGTTTCATAAAATCTCTCCCCCCAGACATGCTATCCCACAGGCCTTGCTCACATACCGTTCTGAAGTCCTCCTCAAATTTGTAGGCTCCACCTCCGGTGGCGCACAGTGTCGTATGCAAACTGGAGAAGTTCTTTTCACTGCCCATCTGTATGAACCTGTGCATGGCACAGCTGGGAAAGCGGATAAAATGCAGGTTGCCTTTGCGTCCACACATAGTCAAGTTTTTCAGTTCCAGATGGACATCACGAATGCCAGTTTTACCATAAGCTGTATTGGAGGTCAAGTATTTCCTAATGCTTTTCAGGTTTTCCACCTCCTCCTGCTCCTCTTCTGCAGTTATGTCTTTAGGTTCAAAGTAGACCAGTTTAACCAAGGTTCCTCCGATATCCATTCCAAACCATGGGAATGCTAAGGGATGGGGAAACAAAGAGACAAAAAGCCACTGTAAATATACAGGTTAGCTCTATGAAAAAATATTTCCTGAATGATGAATCAGCTGGTGAAAGTTAAAGCATCAGAATCTGCTCCTGAAAACTGTTGGGAACTTGCATATCCAAATCATGAGTATAAGATACCTCTCTAAATTAGGCTTTATAATCAAGCCTAAATTCCCCAAAAGAGCAGAGAACCTGAAAGTACCCCTCTTGTTTGGAGAAGTACACTGACATTTTTTTTTCTCCCCCAGGAAATTATTTAAGTCAACACCTCTTGGGAGAGCGCACTGACTGCATTTCACCCAGTCTGACTCTTGTCACCAATTCTTAGAATAGATTAAGGGAGAGAAGAAGTGGAAAAAAAATGAAAAAAAAAACACCAACAACCTACCCAAAACACTCCTCAAGTTGCATTTCTACCACATAGCATCTATAATTCCCTTTCCACTCCCTCTATCCTTGATCACCTCTGCTCTTGATTAAATAGTCTCTCCAAAAATAGGACACATAGCTAACACCAACTGGAACTTGTAACATCCCAGGGTTCCAATGCTCCTTTTGAATGGTGGCAATAGGTCCCCTTCCTATCACAGTGAGTGCCTCCTCATCCACCAGAGCCGGGTAGAGCTGTTAACACTTGCAGATATTAGCAGAAAGAGAATGAGCTGCAAGAGTCAAATGTCTAAAATCCACAGACAACATCTTGTTTGAGGAGCAGAGATGCCCTGTGCTGGGGCACACAGTGACCTGGCCCACAGTTATGCTAGAAATGCCACTATCTGCCCCGGCCAGCCCGGGCACAGCAAAGCCCCAGCTCCGCTGGCAGCGAGAGAGGTTCAGTGCTGCAAGCAGGTCCCTAAGACAGAGCCCAGCCCCTCTGCCCTGAGCGCCCTGCTTAAATACACATGCACACGGGTTATAAATACTGGGCCAGGTAACATCTGCATGGAAAGTGAGTGAGAACACAACGTTTTACATGGGTATTTTAGGAGGAGACAGCTAGTAGTATCTGTTAGAGAAATTTTAATTATAATTACAATTACTTGACTAAGTGGCTTACACAAAATCAGTTTCTTAAATACCAGTCATGCAAACTTCTTTTTCCTAGTTTATTCTCGCTGTCAATCTTTTTGTGGGCCAAATTGCTAGTTGCAGAAGAAAAAGAACTTTGGTCCTAGAACATAGGTCGTTTTCTCTGAGTGCAAATGAAGAGCACAAGACCACTCCACAACCAGCAGCACCTCAGCCAGGCTGAACAGCTTAGTTTCTTCACAGCTGCTGACACCAGTTACCTGCTGAAATTCACCTGCAGAAAAGGAGACAAACACTTCTCAAAGACCCTGAGAAGTCTCACTCAAATCCATAAAAGCTCAGTGC